AATATCGCTAGATCCTCTCTCTCCCCCACAAAAATCGCCAAAATATCGCCGCTTTCCAGTTCCGCCTCGTAGCCTCTCCCGGTGGTCTTCGTAAATCAGTTCTCCCGAAGCAGCCGGCCGGCGTGAAAGTACCACCAAATCCCCGGAAAGGATCGCTGTAGTCATCGAAGTGCGCGGAAAAAACGGCGAAAAAACAGTGGCAAGTGTGAAAAGTCCAATACAAGTGTGCAATAAATAAAACTGTACCAAAAATCGAGTGGACAAACATTTTAACTGCGCAATAAGAAGGTTTTTTCCTATCTTTTGTGCGTGTGCTCCGTTACCCGTCGCCCGTTGGGATCTGCAACAGCAACAATTGTAAGCGGGTGAGTGAGACAAAACTATATTCTTTTTGCTTGTATGCTAGGTTTACACTTGCTTCGCGCTCACATTTCTGACTTCGCTTGCCCCTGCATATATGTATACTCACTAAGAAGTCCCGTTACCTGCATTCCTTGCTCTCTCACTGAAAAATTGAACCCAAGAGCGGGAGAGAGTCGCTTTCTCAGAATAACCTACACTCTTGTGGATGGCAATTTTGATATTTGGAAGCTGCTGCCTTTGTTTACCTTTTTTGCTTGGTGAATATTTGCAAATTTGCGAATTCAAAAACAAAACTGAACTTTTTATTGTATAGTAATATATGGATTAATTGTTTTATATTTTTTCTGTTGGTTTTTATTTTGTTTTTACCACAATGAATATGCCGAAGTAATTATATTTTTCTTTTTTTGTTATAAATATAAATTTAATTTAACAAAGTTTTATTTATGGCTAAAAGCAAAACGTATACATTTTTAGCATATCTTTTCAAATTAAAATTAAATTATTATTGTCTAAGTTATAAACGATTTTTAACTCTAAGAATCTAAGAGTCCTAAGAGATTTTCTTTTTCCGAAGTTTAGCTTTCTTTCTTGTTAAAATAGCTTACATACACATTTTCTGCAAAGAGTTTATGTGGGAAATGAAACAAAAATTGTATTTATTAAATTTCCGAATAATAACGATCATATAAAGTAAATATACTAATTATCAATTTCCAACTAAAAGACATTCTCGACGGCCACCTTGCTCTCCCTCCTCTCACTTTCCTGTACGCAGGTGCAACTGCTTGAGTGTCAGCCTCATACTTTGGCAACTTCGAAATGTTGCGCTGCAATTCGAACTCAGTCACATGTTGCCAACCAATGCGCATGTTCTAAAACTTGTGTCGCTACTTTACTGGCAACATGTTGCCATGTGCTTCTCTTCTGCCGTCAAGGACCTTCGCTTCCTGCTTCGCGTGTTTTGATTTGCGCTGCTTGTTTATGTTTTCGCACATCCTGACAGGTGGTTGTGTCGCCCACATGGGTGTGTGTGTGTGTGTAAGGGAGCGTGTGTGTGAGCAAGTGTCTGAATATTTATGCACGGCAATTGCTCAATGTCGCCCATCGTCTGTCTGTCTGGGACTCAAACCTCCTCCAAAAAAAGGGGAGACAAGGGGGATTCCCTAACTCTGTTTGTTGGTTATACACAGTGGGGCAAAAGGAACATGGTTTATTAAGTTATTATATACAAAAACTATTATTAAATATTGTATATTCATAGAGAAAGTTTCTTAAATAATATTTTGATTAGTTTTACATTTCTTTATCATTACATTTCTTTATCAATTTTTACATATTTTAGTTGTGAATGAAATTATTGGAAGCTCTTATTTTCCGTGTAGATCCCTCTTGTTCCCTGGTGGCTCTGCTCAGCCGTATCTGCCGGATTAATCCCATCGCGCGTCCGCGCATTCCCGTCAAGCATCAATTTATCATTCCAGCCTTAGTATTTATGTGTGTGTTTGTGTTTGGAGTTGCTTTTGAGGCTCCAAAGGGACTAGTCTCGCTGCTTATAATTGCCGTGCCCCCGGTACCGCTTCCATGGCATATTCAATTCGCGAAAAATATCCTTGCAAAGGGGGAGGGCAAAAGGGGCCGAAAAGTCTCACAACCTCTCTCTCCTGCACCTGTCACGGTCGCTGTCACTTTCAATGGGAGTTTCGGTGGAGTTCAGGAGGTTCTCTACACACCTTGTCCGTGTGCCAGTGCCAGTGCCAGGATGGAATCGGATCGGAAATGGGGCGACTGGCCAGTTGCCATATGATAGGGATATATGTATGTAGGTAGGTAGGTGGGTGTATAGGGACCGAGTGCCCTGCGGCAATGCAGCATAATTCGTCGAGTGCAGTTCCGTAAGCCGCTTAAGGACAGTGGAACCTCCTCCATGCATGTGGTATCCCTCCATCTCTCATCTGCAACTCCAACTCCAACTGCAACTCCAACTCCTTTACCGCGTTGCGACAGTGTGTTGCTACATAAATCACTTTTCCCATTCGCCGCCCGTCGTGTCCTTTTTTTTTTTTTTGCTTTGCATAGATGCCAGGGCTCTGGGCCAAAGTACAGTTGTGCCCGCAGCGGGAAAGTTGCAAAAAAAAAAGGAAAGGGGAATCATAGGGAAAATTGGAAAGAAGAAAATAAGGCTTAAGCATTTGCTCTCTGCACTGATTAGCAAGTGTTTTGAAGCCAAAAGAGATACCAGAACGTTAGGTTTAAATGTTAATAAATAGTTTCTTTTTGAAGGATTTTAATATTTAATATTTAAAGAACTTTTTTTTTGCCTTTAAAACCTTTCATACATTCGCTTCGAAACCATCACCTCATATCAGAATTTCTGCATCCTGCTTCCTGGATACTTTACTTTACTTTGTCCTTCCATCCAAGTCCTAGACCTAGACCTGGGATCCCTTTAGACTTTCAGGACAAAGCTAAATCGCATACAAAGCCAATTGGCCCCGCAACTTCTACTTCTACTTCTACTTCTGGCTAAAAAGGAACAAAACGAAGCCACGCACTTGTAGTTACAAAGCGGATACTCATTTAAGTTGATTCACCGCACCAACAACGGCACAAAGGACACAGGACATGGGGCAGGACTTGGGACGCGACGTCAGCCAATGACACTTTATGACAATTGCACTTGGCGGCTGCTGCTCCTGCTGCTCCTGATGAAGCGGGGCATCGCTTGGCTGGAAAATAATATCAAATGGAGGGGGAAAGGACTACTACCGAAGGTCCACAAAACAGGGTCGCCTTTCTCCTGGGGGAAGCTCCCCGACAAACAACGGCGAAACAAAGCCGCCAACGAGGACACAACAAGAACAAACAAGTGAAAATCATTCAGGGAAAACTGCCTGCCTGCCGTCTGCCAACTCCAACTCGCAAGGAAATCCGCGTACACTGGGGAGCGTAGGAAAATGCTTCCAAATAAAAAATAAAGAGAGAGGAAAATAAATGCAGAAAAATATGATTCTGTGGACTATGAAGTATCCATTAATACAAGACTTGGTTACTATTAAAAGTATAATATAATAATTAAGGATTTATATAGCATAAATCCTCACAAAAAGCTTTAATAAACTTGTATTTAATATTAAACAAGTTATATAATATATTAAGCTTTAAAGGTATTGCTAAATGATTATTTATATATAAATATTATCTTTCTCGATCTTAAATGATTCCAACTTCGTCTAGACTATATATCATACCCTATAGCTCTACCTAATAGGCGGTACCCAAAGTGAAAAAAAGGAATCGTAAACAAAATGCCGGAAAAGGCAAAAAAACATGGCGACAAAGATGATGGCGACTACGAGGCAATGGCGATGACTTCCAACCACGTGCTCCATATGCTGCACATGAGGCGAATGTGAATGAAAATGCGAATGGAAATGCGAATGGGGAGACCGAAAAGAGGGGACATCCCCGAACTGAAACTGAGAGATGAGATGCGGCCCGACGTCGCCGTGATAATGACTTTTTGTCTCTGCTCGAATGTCACTTGATGTTTTGTGGGCCCTTCGCTAGTGTTTCTGCTTCCTGGCTACACTTGCCATCAAAATGTTTGCTTTTTCGAAACTTAAAAAAGAGGAAAATATACTTGGGAATATTAAGAAATATAGGGATAATGATTAATTATTAAAGCATTATTTTTAATCCTGGCTACAATTGCCAAAAAAATTTCTGCTTCTTTGAATCTAAAAATGGAGGAAAATATACTAGGGAACATTAAGAAATATAGGGATAATGATGAATTATTAAAGCATTATATTAAATCATGAAAAATGGGTAGTTGCTAGTGGGAAAGTATTCATATTTATTAAATCGGTATTACTGAAAATTTTCATTTATTATAACTATCTAAAAAAATAATTTAAATTAAAATATCATGATTATATACATTAAAAAAATATAAAGAAATGTTTTTTTTAAGAGGCATTTAAGGCACAAAACATTTATAAAACAAATATTTTTAGATGGCCAAGATACAAAATTTTTGACTTATTTTCGATTATTTTAGTTTTATTAATATTTATAATATATTATATTATATATTAATTTATTTATAAATTATGTACTTAAGAATTTCCTATTTTAAATATGAGCATAAGAATTTGTATGATTTATTTATTTTAAAAAGTTTTATATATATTAATTTTTTTTTTTGGGTATTTTTAAAAACACAAAGTATTTATAAAATATATTATAAGGTGTCCAAGTGTTTTAGAGAAACCAACAATTGTATTTATAATTTTCTAAAAAATATGTAAACCATTTTATACTAGCTCTAAGGTAACCCTAATTTCTTCAAGTGCAGCATGCTTCAGTGTTTTCCTACTTTGGCGTATCCTTCGTGGCTGCTTGCTGCTGCTGCTGCTGCTGCCTTTGTTGTCGCAGTTTTCGTTTTATGCCTCGAGGTCATTCAGGTTCAACTCGCCGCCGCCTTCTGATTAATTGGCCACAAGGAAGCAGCTATACATAGCTATAGCTTAGTATGGAAAACAAGAAAACTAAACGAAAGCTAGAAAATTAGAAAACAAGAAAGCTAAAAAGGCAAGCAAGCCTTGCCCCTAATGTCACAAGAAATTTGGTGAACCTCACAGTTCTCAAAGTATTCATTTCACACAGTTGTTCAAACCAAACCAGGCGTCTCACCCATATTTATTCCATTTGGCTTCAAAAAAAATCAAAAAAAAGAAAGATAGAAAACAACTCAAAAAGCAAACAACAATATACAAAACTACAAAACAGACAAAAAGTATCATTATGAATTAATACAAATGTTTTTATTCTACAGTTACATAAAATTGGATTTGAATTCGGGATCAAGTTTTACATTTTTGGATACAGACCATGGCGCCGCGGTATAAGGTGCGAGTGCTGGCGCAACCGCGACGCCTGGCCCCGAACATAATGCTCACCATTGTCCAGATCCTGGAGGATGCACGCCAGCCCCTGAGAGAGGACGAGCTGGTGGGCACTCTGAGGCAACACTATCATCGTCTTGACCCGGATTTCCAGCGTCAGGTGCGACTCAATCTACGCGATGGCATCTCCTATGGCATCCTTAGACGAACCAAGGATTTAATTGAACTTCGTACACACAGACTTGGCGAGCTGATGGCCACGTTATCGCCATAATCTTTTCATTATACAGAGTTTTCAGTTTTTTTTTGTTTGTTAACGATTATGGGCGCAAACGCGGCCGCCTCGCAAGTGATTTTTTTTAAAAGCCAAATGGATATTACAAGGACATATTAATTATGGAATACATGCTATGCTGCTGTCATGTCAACCCCTCCTGTATCGTGCATAAATATTGTTAATTTATAGTACAAGATTATTTTTATTTTATTAGGAAAATCAGGGGAAATTCTAGAGATTAATTTTCTTGACTTCTCCCTTCTCCCTTGATTGCTTTTACCTTAATCAAGGTAATTGTACTTCAATTGCAATTTAATAGACTCCCAAATATTCGCTCTACTCTCAGGTGTAATAATAATTTGGCATTTTGGTTCTGAAATGTGTGTTGCTTGTATCTGAGCAGAATTGGCCCTTGGTGGCAAATATTTGCGGTTGTCTAAATGAAATGCATGGCATAGCAGCGGCACACTAACCACATTGCGACTGCAATGGTTTTGTAGTGTGTTTGCATTGCGCCGCCAAATATGCAATTAAATCATAAATTAAATGGCAAAAATTAAACATTAGCCCAAAATGTGTTGTATGGGCAATGTTTGAAAATGTTTTTAAGAGTCATTCCCATAGGCATTGTATACAATGGAACTGAAATTATTATGATTTATGTATGTAAATTGTGAGATTTGTTGGGTTTCTTTTAAATCTAAATAAGGAAAAGAGTTTAAAAGCATAAATTTTACAGAAATATTATGCTTAGTCAAGAAAAAGATGTGGAAAATAATCAAGTATTTGAAAATGTATAATTTAATCCATAATTTTGCAAGTAAATAGGACTGTTTCATTTGTATCTTCGATCTGCAAAAGTATCTTTTCCCCTTTCTTCGTCAAAAAACAAACTCCCATCACAGATGCTTAAAGCCCAGTCCAATGGCTCACTGAGGGCACACAATCGTATCGATTCCCATTGAAACGTAATCACGAATTCATGAATCGACCAAAATGTCCTTCTGGTTTATTCCCAATGTCCTCGATTTCCTGGCCTGAGGTTGACTCCGAGGGCGACCGGTCGAATGTGCGAATAATTGATTATGCGGCCGATTTCTTGATGAGGCTTTGCCGTTATTATTTTAGCCGCTTGTGTAATTGCAAACGGAAGCGGAAACGCTCGTCAGCCATAAATTTGCTCAGCTCTAAAAAAAATGGGGAAACTGAACAGAAAATAACAGGAAAAAGCCAACGAAACCGCAGACAGAGACAGCTGGGGCCATCCTGAAACGCTAAATAAATTATGCATTAAAGGCCATGGCGTGCTGATGATTTATGCAGAAGACCTGGTAGCCGGCAATCCGGGAGCAACCCAGGAACCAGGAACCAGGAACTGAGTATCCAGTATCCAGTACCTAGTACCTAGTACCCAGTGGCAACAAGCAGAGTTCTGCCGAGTTGCAGTTAATAAACCCCCGGTGGTAATGGTGACCCTGGCAAAATAAGAGGCCCGCGTAAAACTACCAACTTCCACTCTAAAATCCAATTGCAGCCCCCTAAAAGTCCTTGCCTTGCCCAAGTTCAAGGAGGAGAAGGAGCTCAAGGACTGGGGAGCCACTATCCAGGAGCAGCAAGAAGGCAAAGCACTTGCTGCTGCTAGAAGGCAAAAAAACAAAAAACACTCGGCACTTGTAAATTTCTTATGAGTGAAAAATAAATAAGAAAACAAGGCATTCATAGGTTACTTGGATGAAACGAATTTGTAAATGCCCTTAGTTAATATAACCTATAGGAAATGTAGTAAAAAGAAAGATTTAAATGCAATTAACGATATTTTATAATAGGTTTCCTAACGATATATAGAATACATTTAGTAATGACTCTCTTTTTTAAATGAAATATAATATCTTAACTTAGATATTGATGATCTATTTTTATATTATAATATTAATTATTAATAGGTATAGGTAAATGTAATTTAAATCGACATTATCTATTCGTTTGGTTTACAAATTAAATCGAATAAGATATTATTTCAAAATGGACTATAAAGAAATCGATATTAAAATAATGTTTAAATTAAAACATTTATCGATATTTCTATAAACCTATTGATATTTACAAAACCTAGAGTATGAGATAAAAATTATTAAAAACTTATCTTTGATCTTAGAAGGATGAAAGATGTTTTCTTTTACAAATAAGTAATGCTGTTTATTCATCGATATATTATCGATAGATAAGTAATACCTATAAATAATTATAATCAATGTTATTGTTACGTCTTAAAAAACTAAATGAAGTTAAAGCATAGAACAATGCTAAATACCCTTCCTACTTGTAAGGGCATTAAAAAGAAGCGACCACAGAGAACATACATATGAGCAAAAGTTGCCAAGTTGTTGCAAGTTGGTTGAGTGCTTTTGTTGTTCCTGCTGCTGCTGCTGGCAGGCACGCACAATTAAATCAAATTACCTCGAGTGCACTCGCCGCTTTTTCACAGTCACAGAAAGGAGTCGTAGTCGGAGTCCCAGGAATGGAATGGGTTTCAGGCCTGATTCTGAGCCTGTGCCTTTGCCTGTGCTTGGGTCCTGCAATTAAGCTTTGCGTCAAGTGTCAGACTTTGTTTGGGGCTTTTGTTTTCACCTCCTGCTGATCCTTCTCCTTCTTCTATTTTTTTTTTTGGTTTTTGAAGATGCCCCTGTGTGTGTGAATTGCATCCGGCTTTGGTCAATGAACTTGCCCATGGCAAAAATAATGCTACCATGTGTATTTACATTTACATGTGTGTATTTGATCCTTTTTGGCCATAATTATTTGGACATCAACTAATCCAGTTTGCCAGCTAACCGCACAATGTGTGGGGCGTCGGTGGCGGCAGCATTTGCGGATTATTCGATTAGAGAGGCCCGCATATGCCCCACGGAAAAAGCAAAGCACGGAGATTGAAATTGCATCGGCTTTTGGCTTTCGGTGGGGGCGTGGCTTTAATTGAAATCGCAGCTCAGCCAACCGCCGGACAATGGACCAGCGGAAACAAGGCAAAATGCGCAAAAAACAAGGAGGTTGCTGGATTCGCCAGGGAATCGAGTTGACATATTCATATGGGGCGGTGGCACATTGCCTTTCTCCTTCCTCCATCCTGCCAGCCTTCTGCTTTCTTTCTGGACAAAAAGTGAACAATATGCGACGCTGATGACAGAGTGACAGGAGGAAGGAAAAGAACAGCAGCAGCAGGAGCAGGAGCAGGAGCAGGAGCAGGAGCTGGAGCAGAAGCTGAAGCTGGAACAGGAAGCAGCGTTGAAAGAAGCATTACGGCAGCTGAATATGCTCCCCGAATCCCCTGGGAATGAGCGGCAAACTATGAAGCAGGACTTGGGACCCGGACCTGGACCTGGACCCGGACAAGACCCGTACACGGACACTCACTTGGAGCTCAAAACACACAGGGAGAAAATCCTTAAAAAGGGAGCAACCTTGATCAGTTATTCCAACTCAAAGTTCTCCTAAAAAAATATAATTAATGGGTTCAGATTTAGAAAGATTATTTATTTAATATTTATAATATTTACTCATAAAAATTAACCTTTACTTATCAGCTCAGGATATTTCCCTCTATATTATTATTATTTACTAACTAATTTATCATATATTTTACTTTTTTCTTTCCTCGCTTTTAAAGCATTTCTCTATATTAATTGGTTGGTTAAACATAAGCAGAAATATGTTATATATTCAAATATTTTATTTTTCTATTATTAGTATTAGTTTTTTAGATATTTTACTTTTTCTTTGTTTACCATAGGTAAAGTCTCGGTAGTACATTTTAAAAACATTAAATATACAGTAAAAATATGTTATATATAATTTTTTTATAGTTTAGATTTATTGTATTTTTTATTATTTATAAATATTATTACTATTCATCTATATTTTTTATATATTCAATGTTTTTCTTTAATGATGAGCTAAATTCTGGCTACTCTAAAATTGCTTTCCATTAATAGCTCCCAAAAACATGAAATATAAGGCACAAATATGTTATATATCTTTATATATTTCCCCTTCAAAAACATATTTAGAAAATCCTTTACAAATACCCTTTAATGTCTCTCTGTGCATGACACCCTCACGCCAGCATGTGCTGGTGCTATGAAAACCTCAAAATGTGAAAACCGAAATTAAATTTACATCAAAAAGGAGCGAAAAGGACAACAAGGAGGGGAGTAAGGGGTCTGTTGCAGGATCAACATGTGAGGGTGGCTTTTGCCTGCATTCCATAGAGGAAAGTGGGAGCAAGGACGGGTGTCCAGGGGTGTTGCCATTGTAATTTTATTAGGTGAGAAGTGTGCAAGGGGGCGGCGTCATTTTTGCTTCGAGGCAAATAAATAAGCAAAATATGCTCTGTCCGAAGCTTCTAACCTGCTGCGTATGCGTTTCCGTTTCCGCTGGCTTTGTACCTCCCCCTCTCCCTTTCCGTTTCATTCCATTCCGTTTCGTTCCATTACAATCCGATCTGGGAGAGGGGGGCGAGAGTGAGAGCTACATTAAATTAGTTTTGACACGTAAATGCGTTTAGCTGCCTAGAGTTCGTTTTGCCCTTTGTTTTCCAGCTCTGCTGGATGTCTGGCCTCGTTTCCGTCTTAACTCGAGGGGAGTCCTGACTCCCCTTTCCCCTTATTCTATTAGAACTTTCTCAAGGGGGGAAGGGAAGGACATTCCTGACATTTTGTAGCATAATTTTAGCCTGTCATTTGGCCGCGAATAAATTACATAAACACCAAAAGGCAAACAGCTAACAAATTTATGACCTTTAACGCGAAACCAGAGTGTGTGCAATTAACCTGAAATTAAACGATTGTTATTATTATGGGTATGTACAGGTAGAGAAGTATAGGTAATGCTCGGGGTTGTTAATTTGCTAATTAGAGGGTTGTTTCCTGTACGGGGAATGTAAATAGTTTCGATTTGGTAGTAGAGTAGAGTAGAGGTTAGCAGAGTGTTGTCATTTAGCTTAGTTTGCTCTTTGTTTTCTTTAGGTTTTATAAAGAATTTGTGTTAGCTTATGTGATTATTGTTCATTTTATAATTAAATAATGTTGTTTCTTTTAGAAATTATTTATTTACTTTGTTTGGTATTCCTGCTTAAGCTATTTATGGTGCAACTTGTGCTTAACTCACTCTCTAGTTATGTAGCAATGTTCATTGTTCAGACCTTTTGCAATCCTGCAAAGCTTCAACTGAAATACCTTTCGAAGGCAGGCATTAGGGAAGGAGGTAGAGGAGTAGGAGCCAGGAGCAGGACTAGGAGTAAGGAGTAGCAGCAGGTGTAGTAGCAGCTGGAGAAGCTGCATCATCGGCTAATCTTCGCTGCGTGTGCAAGGAGCCAAGCTCGGGCTCAGGTCGTTGCGTTGACACGCAACATTATGGGCAGCTTCTATCGGTTCAAATGCCGCAGGAAGAGAAGGATCAAGGAGACGGTGAACTATTAACATTTAAACTCAGCAACACTGTTCCCCCTGGCAATGACAAATCCCATTGCTATTCACCAAAGTCCTTTAGAATGCACTGCTATAACAGTGGTCCCATTTGATTTCTTTCCTAATTTCTGTAATATATTTTATATAATTATATATTAAATCAATTAGGCTAAGTCGACTCCTTTTGCAAAAACTTCCCTCAATGCACATTCCTTGGTACAATGTTCACCAGAATTCCAGGAGCTGAAAGGCAGAGATATTTATGAATCACACAAGCACAGTAATTCATTGTCCACAGCTTCAGGTTGCTGGCTTTCAGCCTGTCAAAAGGAGGAGTCAACAGGTCCCAGCAAAAATGCTGGACAAGGACCTCAGACTTGGGGCATATCGATGTGCCCGATCCCTGACAGTTGCGACAAAATACAATTATGACAAGAAGCCCTCCTCGGGCTCTGACTGCGGCAGGCAAATAAGTTGATGACCATATCTCTGTGCATATATAAATATATATATATATACGGCAGACAAAAGGATGCTAAAGGAAGCCTGTACCGAGACTGACGCCAGCTTGGTGCTCCAGTTCCAGTTCCACTTTCATTCCGGTCGAGGCCAGCTGCGTCACCGTTTGCCAAGGATACTCTTTGTGGCAGTTTAATGGCTACTTTCTAGCCAAATTTTACAGGATGGGGTATTTCTTTTAGTGTAAAAATATATATAAAATATATCAAATATATAAGATATATAGAATATGTATGTAATATGTATATAAGATGTATTTAAATGCATATAAATTGTATAAACAAATATGCGCAATATACATATAGAATATACATAAAACGGGAATATGAATTTATTTTATTCATAAAATGTATATAACATATACATTAAAATGCACATAAAAACAAGTATAAAATATAAAAAAAAATATAAAAACATATGCATAGAATATATAAAAAATTCCTATAAAATGTATATAAAATGCTTATTAAAATTTATATAAAATGTACCTAAAATATATTTTATGTAAGTTAATTGAAAGCTTTTACTTACGCTTTTATTTTTAGATATTTTTTAGTTTATGTCTTTAGTTATTAATTTAGCTTTTTTTTTTTATTAAATAAGCTTTGTGTTTCCTGGTTGACAACACAGCTGCTGCTTGGCTTTTAGCAGGAGAAGCAGGAGCAGGGAGGCGTTCCATGAAGCTCAAAGGAGCGAGTGCGTCGCCATGCTGATTACCAGGCCATTTCCCCCGCCGGGGCCACTCTGTCCACTGTTTACCCATTTCATCAGCATCAGCTTCAGCATCAGCATCTGCAGCAAAGGCAACAAAACAACAGCAGCAGCAGCATCCCCATCTCCATCTCCGTCACTCCATCTCTACTCAGTGCAGCCACCCACTGGCGCCACTTTGTCGCGACGCTTTTTATAATTGAAGCAAATTGTTAGTTGAGTTGGCATTCACTCGTCGTCCTCGTCCTCGTCCTGGTTCTTTCATCCTTATCCCAACTGCTGCTGCTGCTGCGGGTACTCTTGTTATTGTCCCTGCATTCTGGCAGATTCCACCCCGCAGAATCCCGCCCAATCCTCAATCTCCCCTTGGCCTGGCATTGTCGCATTCCAATTACAAAACAATCATGATGAGCCCTAGATATTCACCACTCTAAACACAATAGTTAGTTAACTGAACAGATCCCAGGAACTATCAATATTTCAACTAAATCTATAGCAAAGGATATAAGATTTAAAAGGAGATAAAGGCACTCTAGAGACAACTTTAAACGGATCCAAGGAACTAAATATTTTAACTAAATCTATAGCAAAGGATATAAGAATTGAAGAAGGATAAAAGCCACTCTTAAGACTGCTTTGAACAGATCCCAGAAACTTTGAATGTTTTACCAATATAGCAAAAGATATAAGAAGTATAAAAGACACTATAGCGACGACTGCATTGAAAACTACAATTTTTATTTACCCAAAAAGGCTATTAAATATGAGTCGCTGGAACCAGAACGACAAAATCATAATTGTTGTTGAACGCATAAGGAAATATCGGGGGCAACGATTCTCGTTGTTAACGAAAACATCACATCCTTCTTTTTCTCGATTGGCAAATAGCCGGATCTCGGGTTTCTCGGGTCTCGGAGCTAGGAGCTAGCTCACGCGTACAGGAACGGGTAAAAATCCAAATGCTGGGCTCGTCGTCATGTTCATCTCGTGTGTTCATCTCATGTTCGGCACAGGACTCGTGGCTCGTGGCCCGGTATTAGCCAGGTTATAAGCCAGGATCAAGCCGCGAGTACTGTGCTGTGCTCAATTGTGTAAAAATCATATATTATTGGGACCACATTGCCCGAAAATAGAGTTACGAAATGTTATATATATATAGAGATATATATATATATATAGATGCTATAGGGATATTTGTCCTAGTGTTGCTGCTATATTTGGATGCCCGAACAGCCATCCGTTGTATAATGATTATGGCTTAACGTTTCCGCCACGACAACGGCTCCTTCTCTAGCTCCTTGGCCCGCTGGGCAGCCTCATGATTGCGCCTCTTAATAGCCATATGCTCGTCCTCCGAGAGTAAGCTGTAACGGTTGCCCTCCTTACTCATATAACCATGGATGACGGCAGCATGCAGGGTATGAGGAATATGACGCTTCAGCTCCACCACCGGACGATGCAGGCGGGCGGCCAGTATATTGACAATCTCTGGATAGCTAACTGGCCGCAAGAGCTCACCCATTAGAGTTAAAACCTCTGGAAATAGATCTGGAAGCGGTTCCTTGCGACTGCGCAACTGATGCTGATGCTGCTGCTGGTGCTGATGTTGCTCATGTTGCTGATGCTGATGCTGCTGCTGCTTGCTGGCATTGCGATGCTGTGCCGATAATGATGGCGGTGCACCTAGCAGGCTTTGAGAGGCTGCCCCATGAGGATTATGGGAATGATAATGTACATGAGGCGGGATCTGTGAGGGAGTAGGTAGCAGATGATCCCTAGGATGTGGTATCAGATGTCCCCGTGAATGTGACTGGCCATGGTGATGAGGATGCTGCAGCAGATGCGTATGCGAATGCGAATGTGAATGCGAATGATGATGATGATGTGGATAGGGACGAACTGGATGTATATGCGCCAATGGATCTGATGGCTGTTGAAGCATACTCAATTGGCGCATTAACAATTGATATGTGGCCTCGGCACCGGCTGCAGCAGCTGCTATAGTTCCCGATGTCGGCAGATCCGTGCAGAAATCATCCAAATTCTCCATGGATGGCTTAAATACGGCTGCCTTGGCATTCAGACGAAATTGTGATGATTGTGAATGAACTGGACCTAATCCTGGATCGGAGGCACTATATTGTGGCATCTCATAGGCAGCAGCTTCGGCATTTAGCTTGGATTTGGAGGCCAAACGAATGGCCTTGGCCGTGGGCAAGGGGAAATCCTCTTCCGCACACTCTAGAAGAGACGGGACCTCCCGGAGTATTGGCTGCTCGGAATCCTTCTCCACCAGCTTGAGGACATTAGTCTGGCATTTGATGCCCGACTTCTTGATGTCCAGGCAATCGCCCGATTCTCCCGGAGCAGGTTCATCGGCGCAATGGACTTGGATTTGGGCTTGGTCCAATTTTAATTGATCAAACCCAATTCCAGGGCCATGTCCCTGCCCCTGATGATCGCCGCTGGTGCTGGTTGTACTGGCACTGGTACTTCTACTACTGGAGGTATCACTGCTAGGTCCCTCCATCTCCTCCGTTTCCGTGTCTGCCTCTATCTCAGCCTCCTCAGCCTCCACTTCCACCTCCACCTCCATCTCATGATCTTTCACCATTGCAATCTTCTTCTCACTCTCCATCGCTTCCAGTTTTGCATAGAACTCGGTCTCCTGTTGCCGGGCCAGTGCCAGCTCTCGATCTAGTCGCTCCAGTTGGCTTAAATGCTGGCCCAAACTAAGACTTAGATTGTGCATTTTGCGGCGATGGCTTAGCTGCTTCAGCTTGGTCAGATACGGGGTCATCATCTTTTTAGCCTTAATTTGAGCTACAGTTTTTTCCTCCAGAATGTGGCAATTAGAAGGGTCCTCTCTTTCTCACGATCTTCCTCTTGAGCTTGAGCAAATTGATTCAGTTACAGTTCGATATATATAGTTCGATATATTGTTATAGATTCATTTAGTTCGGTTCCCTTCGCTTCGATTCGGCGTTTGTTAATACCTAAAATTGGGTTTGTGGATTTTTGCGTTTTGCGTTTTTTTAGTTTGTTCGGAAATAAGCAATTTGTTTGTTTGCTATCGAATTTTGGTGATTTTATGGTTATCGCTTTTGTAACGGTTGCGTTGTTGGGTTTTTTTCGCCTTTCCTTTTACAATTACAAAATATATACCTCCATATATATATATATATATATACACATATATATATAAATATTATTATATATATATATCTCCACACGTTGGATGCAGTTTTGGACGCGGTGTGACGGACGACCGACGATCCGCAATATGAACTGTGAGGACTGCCTGGGTAGCGGTACAGATTGGAACCCAACTTTGGAACACGATACGGAGATGCCTTAATTTACAACAGGTTTTTGTTGTTCTGCCGAAAAGTGAAATTTTGTCGATCCGAGTGAAAAGTGTATGGTGCTCAGTTCAGGTCGAAGTGAAAGTGAAATGAAGTGTGGGTTTTGTGAAATCGAAAATTTGACTAAAACATGGACTACTATGTTGTCATAAAATGAAGTTTATACCATTTGCAAGGGTATTATAATTTGAAGAAATCATTTCCGACCCTATAAATAATATATATTCTTGATCAGCATCGAAAGCTGAATCGATCTAGCCATCTCCAAAAGAAATTTTTTTAAAATTTTTTTAAGGGCATACATCGTTAAAATTAAAAAAAAAAAAATTATTAAAATTTTAATTGTTTAAGATTCTAAATTGAGTATGTAGGTTTATTAACCTATTAAAAATAACCAGGGAAAACTTTCCGAATTGAAATTAAGGCTGTTTTGGATAAGTTTTGAGTTTTCAAACCTTGGATTTGTCTAGAAAATTATTACATACAAATAATGATATATCGATTAAAAAATCCAAATATTGTAAGCTCACTTTTGATACAATTTCTGATTCAAACCAATAAATAAATTTTCTTAATATGGGACATAATATTTCTTAAATGAAAGGTTTTTTTTTGTATAATTAGAAAGATTTTTCATTTAACTAAATACCTTTAAAGCTATTTGATCATTAAAAGCAAAGGCAATTTGTTTCTAAATTTAAGGCTAATTTTACTTGACTTATAACCAACATTTAGTTAAGTTGATAGTAAGTAACTATTAAAAGAAATGACTTGTTACTTTTGAAACACATCACATATCAAAGAGTTGGCAGGCATCTCGCAGCCGTCACTTCGTTTCGGGGATGTTAGAACCAGTTCGGAATTATATGTTCACACGTGCGAGATTTAGATTCAGAAGTTTGTAACTTTGTCGGAAGTCATTTCCGACCCTATAACCCATATATATTCTTGATCAGCATCAACAGCCGAGTTGAGCTAGCCATCTCAGGAGGGGGAATTTTTTTGAAAATTTTTTCAACATTTTTTAAGGGGTTACATCGTTAAAATTAAAAAGAAAAAATAAATAAAAATTAAATTTCTTAAAATATTAAATTGAGTATGCAGTATTGTAGGCTTTCAGAAAACTAACACAAAAGTGCTTTCCGAAATAAAATTAATGCATTTTTTATTTAATTATGAACTTTTTAAATTTTGAATTATTAAGATAATTGTTTTATATAAGTAAATCGATTTTATGAAGCTAGCAGAGGTTTTTATATTTTAATCATGGAAGGAGTCATTTCCGACCCTATAAACCATATATATTCTTGATTAGCATGAAAAGAAGAGTCGATCGCAAGAAATTTTTTTTTTTTTTTATTAATTAATTTTACCCATTGCAAGATACTTCAAACCTAATTAATTTATTTTACCAGCGCTATGCATTTGAAACGTTTTAAGAGCTTTGGCAGAATCTTATATCTTATAAAAAGTTACATATTTAAATCTCTTAACTACAAAACCGAAGGCTGATATTAGATTAACATCGTATTGAATACCAAAAGTCAACGCCAACATCCTTTTGCCTTTTGCCAAAATGTAGTTCCTTGGCTCCCAAAAAAATGGAAATAAATTTGTGTTTTTAGGGTTGAAACACACAAACACCGACACACACAACCCAACTGTTTACAATACATAAATAAATTGGGGAGTACAAAAAAAACCCTTAACAATTTTGGGGTTCCGGGTTCTGGGATGACTTTGCCCCGCAGCCAAAAAACACAAGCCAAGTTGAATCCAAATCCTGAATCCGTTTACCCAAAAGCATGTAGAACAATATGCCACCAGAGAGAGGACCCCAAGGACCCGAAGGACTTGCAAGCAAATGGAAATGGAAAGGCGGGAGCCGAGACCCAGACCAGACCGACCTTCGTGATGATGAGGTGCGAAAAATCACAGGAATTGGATTTCATTTGTTGAATTATGGCCACTGGCCTTGAGGGCCACCAATTTGCGCAGTGTGGGGGGGATAATCCTGGGCATTAGTGACCCCCTTCATGAAATGAATAACCTGTTAATGTGCCGGGTCACTTTACCAGGTCCAACTCCATCATTATAATCCTTACATCATCATCATCTTCATAATCATTACATCTTTATTATCCTCAGTCCTCGTTCTCAACTAGTGTTGGGTAATTTCACAATTTTCAAATTACACACCACAAAATCTCATTTAGCTGAGTAAAGCCAGTTGACTGGACTAAAACTGGGAAGGAGGACAAACCACACACACACAGACACACACAAATTACTAAATGAGTTGACCCTCGAGCTCCCTGCTCCTTTTCGGCCCTAAATGTAATGTGCCAGCCTCACGCTCGCTTGCCCCGTTCAACGGGCGTGAAAACAACGCATTCACACCGCACACATAAGCGCAGTTAACGGAGCCTGGAACTAAGACCTCGAGGCTCCAGGAGTCGCTCCTACATCCTTCACTTCCACACACAGAAAAAAAATACAGAAATAGAAAATCGTATGTAAATAAATACAAACTTATAGAGATATAGCTTAGTGTCCTTAGGTTTAACTTTATTACAGTATTTTTCTAATTGAATATTCTTTAAATATATATATAAAAAAACTAACTGAATTCACAAAATTGATAAATACAGTTGAGATGTTGTTTTTTTATTTATTTAAAAATGAATCGAAATATTTATATATATCTTTTAGGAAACACTAACTTATTGTCATTAGTTGTTTTTATTTTTAAAGACATGAAATATTTGCATCTTTTGACTTTAAATCGATATTTATTGATCATTTTTATATAGATAATTTTCTGGACAAATCACAATTTAAAAAAGTCATAACTAAGTCAAAAATGCATTAATTTTAAATCGGAAAGCGTTCCTATGTTAGTTTTTATTACCATAATAAATCGGCATACTCTATTTGAAATTAAAAAAAATTAAATTTTGCATATTTTTTGTTGAAATTTTTAACGATTTAACCCCTACAAAAATGTCCAAAAAATTGGTAAATTGTTTTTCTGTCGGAGATGGCTAGATCGATTCTGCTGTTGATGCTGATCAAGAATATATATACTTTATAGGGTCGGAAATGGTTTCTTCAGTGCTTTTTAAGCTTCTGACTTAAGTTATAATACCCTGTAAAAGGGTTTTTTTTAAATAAAGTTTTTGCTATTATGTTTAAGTTATATTATCATTATCTTTCTCTGAATATTTATTAATCATATTGAAGTCTTGGCTTAAGCTTTATCTACAACAATATGGTTTATTAGTTTTTATCTATAACTTTTAAATATGTCTTGGACAGCAAGATTTCTCTCTGTGCTGTCCAAAACCAGGTATTATCACACATGGCAGCAGCAGGAGCAGCATCAGGGCTGGCCAGTGTGTGGGGGTTCTTTGGCGACCAAGGACATAAGCGTGACTAAACCCCAAAGCGCAGTGACTTCTGTCGCTTCAAGGGGGAGTGAAGGCCAAAGCCCAAGCCCAAGAGAGCCGGACGATGCAGCTGCCGGAGGAGCCACTGGCTGCATCCTGTTTGGAGCCTTTAAATGCCAGTTGGTGTCGCAACAATCAGTGAACTCAAACACACAGTCACACACAGCACACGCACACTCTGACCCTCTCCAGGACGGGACATCTTCTATATAAGGCACCGACTGAAGATAGGGATGTTAGGATAATGCACAGAAGAGGGATTTTTGTGAAGGAATAGAAACCTAAACATAAAGAAGAATAATTATATATTACCTTGAGTATTATATAATTTTAGTATAATATATGGAAGCTATATTAGCCTTCGATAAAAAATCTATATATTCGAGAAAATGATATAAATCTTTTAAATTTTTTTTACAACTTATGTTACTTTTCAATCCAAAATATAGGGCTCCTTTTGGATATATTTTTAAAGGTATTTTGTAAAAATAATCAAAGATATATTGGGTATTTCTATAAATAAAGGAATGGATAAATTAGTTTTGATATTTCTCAGATTTTTATCAAATGAATCGAGTTAGGATCGATATATGGCAATATGCCATCTCTAAACAGACTTCCTTTGGACTCCACTTTCACACTATATATGCATACATATGACGGTATATATCCTCGGGAATAGGGAGCGAAGGATGGGTGGTCACTTGGCGCCCGAAGCTGACACCACATCAAACACAAAAGGACGCGATTGAGGTCGGCCGTCTTAGTCAACGTATCCTTGTTGATATGACCGCAAGCTCAAGGCTTCCAAATGCCAGCATCACACCTTGGCAAAGGTGGGCCTAGGGACGGGGTTTGTAGGCAGCGGCGAAGGACGAAGGACAATGGATATTGGCGGCTCTCTACCTTCGAGTTGCATTTCAATTAGCTCGTTTCGCTGCAAGGCGGCCGACAAATTGGGGATTTCCTGGGACATCTTCAGTCACAAACCGGCCCATCGATCAGCTTACCATAAGGATTCCACCTAGGAGCCAGGAACAGGATTAAATGGGGTTGCTCTGGGCAACGCTTTAAAGGATTATTTGTAGATTTACAGACAGATATTCTGTTTGTTCCTAGTTTGAATTTTCTCTAAAATAAACACAAGGATTATATGTTTTTGATTTAATTTAACGAACTTGAGAATTTAATCACTTTCCTCTCTATTTCGGATTAATTTCTTCATGAACTTTGATTAATTTTGTTGCTATTCCGACTCCGAAGTAGTCCCTCCACTGGGATCACCATACTCCAATGATTCACGGCTAATATTTGAACCATTCGATGTCCATGAGGCTCTAGCAATACCCGAAGAGGAGCTACCGCCATGACTCTGAAGTTGTTCCAAGCGATTTGATATCACCGAATAGCGAAGATTCTTGATACGCAGATAGCCAGTGATAAGGGCATCCTGCAGACCGACAGTAATCTGTCGCTTCAGCTCCTCATCGTTGCGATTCATACGCCTGGAGATGGCTGCCACAATCTCGGGCTCCGTCAACGGATGCTCCGAGTCGGCGATCACCTGCAGGATGCTGCTGAATAAATTTGGTATTAATTTGCGACGCGGTGCACGATTGTAACTGCTATGCAGCATCCTGGCGGTCTCTGGTCCTGGGAGTCGGGGGGCGGGCATATTTATTCCAAATGATTATAAAACGAAAACGGGATAGACATCAAATAGTGAGACTGTGTCTGGTTTTGAAATGTTTAGTTACTTTTGGGATTGAAACAGAGACTGAAAAATTAAAAGCAAAGCCTATTTGGATAAGTTTTTTAGGGAGCTAAAGGTTTTTGTTAAATGAAAAATGCTTTTAAAGCATGAAACTTAAAAAAATATATAGGAAAATAGTTTAAAAATACCAAGAAAATGGTAATATTGTATTTTAAGATGGAATTTCCACTTGATTTAGTGTCAAATGATTGAAAAACTCCCGGAAGAAGCTCTGCAAAGGAAATTGATAAACCAGAAGCCGTGGCGGATTTATTATTATCAAATAAAATCCCATCAATTAGCTAAAAAAATTATTTAAAATACAGAAAAATTTCCAAATGTTGTGATAATCCTTTAAAGACATCGCCCTTCTTTGTGGAAGTGATGCGTCTGCCCCAAGACTACACTCACTTACACTTTACTCTGAGGTCGGCGGAGGCCAGGACTCGGAATTGGGGGTGTTGGGTGTTGGGAGGGGGCAGACAGGACAGACAGGCAGACCGAGTATCGATTTACAGTTAAAGTGACTGTTGCGGATATGCGGATGCTGTAAGTGTAAGTGTATGGGTAATCAAGTACAAATGCGAGGACATCCGAGTCGATGACGCCATCCTAGACACACACACACACAAAAGAGAAAAGGAAGGCACAAGGAATCTGCGGCAGGCGCTTCAAAAATTTGCATGGCGACAGCATCGAAGGCAACAAGGATTTTCTTATTTTGTTGTTGTGTCTGGCACGTGTCGCTGGGAATTTAGATAGCGGAAAATTTCTGTAGAGCACCATATAATACACACAATAAACCGCAGTTGCAGATTGGCATTCGCATTTATCTGGCCGCGAGGGTTGGCTAATGAGTTTGGCGTAAATGACAAGCCCCCATTGCAGTTCGCATGAAGTGCGTTGCATTCTTAATTACAACCAGGCATGGCAAGAGCAACATATGAGTTGATACACTTGGAAATAATATAAATAAATAATGATTATAAATATTATATTATATTTAGGGATAGTCAACATATTTGAGGTAATTTAAGAGACCTTAGAAAGGTTTTTCTATAGGTGTAAGTACTTTATTTGAGGCCTTTTATAAGATATATATAATAAGTATATAAGTAGACTAGTAATATAACACAAGTTTCTTAGCTTAAATAAGTATAAAAAAACTTTATTTTATGTATAAATTAATATAGTAATTAATTCTCTTTCCACTTCCAGTCTTCAGTTATTTTTTAAATGTAAGCCCAATGCATAAACTTATATATAGATTAGAATCCAATAACTCTCTCCGCCCCTTTTGGCAGCTGTCAAGCCTGATTAGCAACTTTGAGCTGCTGAAACGTAGCTCCAACTTTTGTTTCACGTCCATTTCGGGTTTTGATATTATTTCGCTCTCCCCAAGCTACAGCAAAACTCCAAGGCAACCCTGTAGTGGCTTGCAGCTGAGTGTTAATTATGACTGACAGCGTTGGCAAGCGCTACACATTTCAGCACTTGGACACCACCCAGGGAAGCAATCGGATTCAGTGAGTCACCCTTATATCCTTTATATCCTCTGTCCTATGTCCAGTCCAGCCGCTGCAAGTTTGACTAATCCGGCGCCAGTGATTAGGCCAGGCTCCAAATGCGACTAGTTACAATTAAAGCCAGCCAGTTGTGACTGCAAAAAGTTTAGCCTCGAATCTCATCAGCCATGCACAGAAAGAAAATGGTTAAAGTTGGGAATGCATAATAAAATATATAGGAAAATTAGAAATGCAACAAAATAGATATATCCTAATCAAAGAAGAACAATTTTAGGGCTAAGGTGAATTTAATTAGGAAAAGAAATCGATGATATCAATTAAGTATCAATAACAGTTTTTGTTTTAATTATTGTTTACACTTGAAATCACCATTAAAACTTATGGAATTATTAAGTTCTATAGAAAAATCAAAAGCAAGTACAACAATTCAAAATTTTGCATTAAGAAAAAGCCACTGATCCGAAAGATAATCGATAACGATAACAGTTTTAAGTTTTTTCAGGAGCTTACGGTTTAAGTCTCTTTTTTCAGGAGCTTACGGTTTAAGTCTCTATGTTTCAATGGAAATTTCTATAGAAAAATCAAAGTCAAATACCAAAACTCTATAATATTAAATCACTAATTCTATACATATTCGATATTGTTATAAAACTATTCAATATTATCGTTTAATCAGAATATTTGGATTATATTACTTAGTTCAATACATGTATATTTAATTAAACTTTCTCTCCATATATTTTCCCTCCGTGCAACCCCTCTCAGTTGTGCAATTAACTGAAACTTTTATGCTACATTTTCGGGGTGGAGCTGGGTGGGGGAGGGGAAAGTGTGATGCAAGAATTATGACTCGAATCAGGCGAGCAGAGATCCGCACACATGGAAAATAATTTATTTTACGATTAGCGGACAGCGATATGGCCAGCGATGCGAATAAGTGGCTGGGCGTCATTCCCGCTGCTCCCGGTGAATAAGTACTATAGAGACTATATATATGTATATATATACTGTAACTGAACATTCGACTGGAGGACACACAATATCCATTGAGATTGAGATTGAGTCTGAGGGAGAAGCTGGGAGTAGCGGCGACGCTGGCGTCAGCGAAACCATTCAATTCTCTCGGTGGTCAGGCGGAAGTTGTTGGCCATTTGAGGCGACTGAAGCCATAAACTGTACAGTGAGTTATCGATGGGGGTGACGCGGTCAGAGATATATAGTTTCTCAAAGGGATATTGCTTAAGTTTTTGGCTATTAAATGAGGCCAAAGACGTTAACAAAGCTTAGGAAATTATTGAAAAATAATTCAAAAATATAAATATATAAAAGCAGAACAGAAACAGATGGGTTTTTGTTGAAAGACAAGTGCAGCAGGTGGTTTTGTATAGTCCTGAACTTCTACCTCTATCTAGACTTAGGAATTTCTAGGGCACTCTTGGCAGCGACAATAACAAATAAATAAGAAAAGAAAACTAACCTTAGGAACCCAACGTTAATAATCAAAAATAAAATCGATAAAATATAAAATCATTCATTACTAAGCTGAAAATGTATGCATTTGAATAGATATTTATCGATATTTTGCCTTATTATGCCAATATTTGTTCACAAACCATAGGTAAAAAACCCATAACTCAGTCAAAAATGCCTTAATTTTAATTCGGAAACCTTTCCCATGTTAGTTTTCATTAGGTTAACAATCTGCATACTTAGATTAAAATAGAAAAAAAATAAATTTTTATTAATTTTTCTAGCTTAATTTTATCGATGAAACACCTTAAAAATTTCGAAAAAATTAAAAATTTATTTTTTTCTTCCTAAGATGCCTAATCGAATCAGCTTTTGATGCTGATCAAAAATATATATGATTTACAGGGTCGGAAATGAATCGTTCACACATTACGAGCTTCTGACTTAAATTAAAGTTAGAATATGAAGAAAAATCTAAATTAAACTAAGCTAAGCTAAACCTTGAGATTTAATTAAAACTAAGTGACTATGTAACTACTTTCCACTTTTCTTGGGACCTTAATAAGCCCCAAAAATAAGTATGACATTATTAGGAAATAAATGCCAATCATAAACATGACGCATACTTTTCGCAGTCCTCCAAGTTTTCCGCTTTTCGGGGAAAAGCGTTTCGCAAAGTTGCCCGCAATTGCCCGTCTCAAGTAAGTAGTTAAGTTAATTTTCAGTGTGCTCGCATTATCGCGCGCGGGTAGGTGAAAGTGAAAGCGAAAGTGGAAAGTGAGAGTGAAAGTGTAAGTGGAAAGTGGCATGGGAAAGCGAAAGTGCTGCAAAGGACACTCAAATAATAATAACAATCTGCCGCAAGGGGGGAATCTTAATGGTAACGCTAAGCGGAAAAGTTTTTATGATTTTTATTAGTTTCGCCTCGCGATGGGATGCCCAAAAACAAATAATGGCCAGTGCCATAAAGATTTGCCCCCCTTCAAATAGATATATATATGTATTTATATATTGGCATCCGGGGACTGGGATTGAGATTTTCTTTGGATGTTTCCCCCAGATTTCCAACTAGATTTCCGCTCAGATTTATCAACACCACACGCGATGGACACGATGCGTGATATATCCCATATGGCGATAGCATGTGGCTTCTTTTCCGTACGGAGTTCGATTTTTGGATGGTCAGCCATCGAATTGGACAAGGTGGAGTCCATGGTCCTTGGCCCTTGGTGGCATCTCACACCACTGCTGCTCCCTCCCTTGGCCAGAGGCGTTGCTAATCTAATTTGCAGTTATTGGCGGTCCAGATTAGCCCAAAAACACTCAGCAAATAGCACACACACACAAGTGTGTGTAATGCCAATCGCGTGCTGGGAGATTCCATTCTGGATTGCCTATAATTTAGCCAAGTGAACTTGGAGAAAAAGTCAAGTAAATTATTATGTTACTTTTAAGAGGAAAAATATATGCAACTTGTTTATATTTACAATGAGTTTGATAGTTTTTTGATAAATATAGAAATTTTATTTCTAAATTCTGTTTCATAATAGGGGCTTTGATAATACATTGTTGGGAAACATAATACATTATTTGTTCTCTAAAAAATGGTTGGGAATTATAACTGCAAATTTGTAGTTTTCCTAACAAAATGGTTGGGAATTATAGTCAAAAATCTTCATAAATATTACAACCGTTTATAATGAAAACGACTGCAAAAGTATCCAAATAACTTATTAGTATTCAATCTAGAATTTTAGAATATTTAAAATGTATATTTAATAAATATTAAATATTATAAAAAAAAATAACAAAATTCTATATTAAATAATTATGATTAATATATGATAAAATTCAAGATAAAATACAAGTTGTTAAGTTTGAGTGTTTACAGTAGTTTTGCACTATTTTTTACACATTTTCTTCAAGTGTAACCCTTACTAGAAAGTGGTCTTGAGGACATATTACCATCTGAGTATAGTAAGGATGGCAGGACTCGATGGGCACACACACACACATTAGTCGAAGCTGTG